AATTAGGTTTAACCCCTATAAAAGGGTGTTTAGGGTTGTTTTGAAGACAGAACATTATTATCATCAATATTGAATTTCGAGATTTTTCTCTTTAAGCAAGGTTTTGCTTGAATTATTCGCGGAACGCTGCGTCAAGAGGCCCCCCATAACATGATCTGGATTGTCAGGTCTTATGCCTCCTCTGCTTCCATGTCCTCCACCGCCGGCTCATCTTATTTACTGCACTTCCATGGCCTACACCGCCAATTGACCACCGCGACCCGCCGTGCATCACCACTACCTCGTTGTTTGTCCATCCTTACCCTCTCTCTACCGACCTCGAATCCGAAGCCAAGAGGCTACGGTACCCTAGAATGAAAAATGTCAAAGACCCATACAAGAGGCCGGGACGCCTTGGATGTGGGATCGTCGCCGCTCAGACCGGCGGCCATCGTGCTGGTATGATGATTTTGAGCTTGGCTTGTAATGGGGTTAACCACCATGACAAGCGATGGTGGCGATGGATGGTGGGCACAAAAGATGCACATTTTACTTCGTGTTGGATGATTTTTTTAAGCGAAAAAAATAATTTTTTGTGCAATGAAGAATGAAAAAGAATGAACATAGACACGCGAAAGCATTTGGACCATCCATTCGGACACATTCGGTGCGAACATGGACATTTAATCACAAGTTGATTGTGTCAAGTGTTATATCAGCATTTCCCGTTACTCCATTTAACGAAATGATGGCATCGAACCAAATTTCAAAAGTTCAAGAACTAAATCGAACAAAAAAAAAGTTTAAAAAACTACATTAAACAAAAGTTCATAAACCGCCCATCATATCGCCCCCTATTATTAAAGCCCATTTTGCTAAGTTGGCGATAGTTTACTGAGTTAAAATATATTATGCACATAGAAGGGACAATCAGATGGGTCAGTTTGACCCATTATTGGTGCATATTAGTTGGCTTGGCTTACGCTAGCAATTGCAAGTTTCATGGCCCAATGTTGGCATTTGGTCGGCCGAATTATTTTGCAGATATAGACTAAGATAGTATTATTGGATGAAAATGACAAACGCTTAGATTTAGAAAAAGAACAAAAAGATTTGTATATCAATTTAGGATCTACTTTTTACACAATTTAAATTTTAAAACGAATGGACTTCGACTTTTCTTTTAAGCCCGAAACGCCTTAAACCTTTAGGATTGACAAGTGAAAGGTTATACAATTTCTTCATTTCTTTTTTAAATTGAAGTAATTTTGTTAAATTTTGAAGGGAAGCTTGAAGCAATTGGTTTCTAAAAAGCGCAAACCACAGGTCCTGCCGCTCTATATATAGATCAATGTTCGTGTAAAAACTACTTCAGAAAATCACTTTTTATATGTTTCCAAAAATTGTGAATGTAGGACTGCCTGAAATATCAGAAGCCATTGATGCTGCTCCTACTGCTCAAACATCATTACTAAGCACATCCCCTCCCCACATTTGAGCTTAACTTCATGTCTAGTTTTTCACCTTTAACCTTTTCACATTCGAGAGCAGCAAAATTAAATCAAAGAACAATAATCATGGAGGCTAGACCGACACCCGCGAGACCCAAGATCCAAATCAGCATGAAAGTAAAGCAAAGGGTCTAAGTCGAACACAACATAATCTTCAATCCATCATAACTTTCTACATACAATCTCCCCCATCTCCCCAAGAAAGGAAGGGAAAAAAAGAAAGCACAAGAACAAGGGAAGAAGAAACGGAAGAGAGATGCAGAGAGAGCCGCACTCCGCGCATCAAAATCCAGAGAGCCCCGACTCCGCGCACTCGCACCATCTTCATGAGTTGATGTATTCACAAACTGAAGCGGGAAAAGTAAAAGAAATGATAAAACCAAGCCACCCCATTTGGAGAGTCTTCTTCTTCTTCATCTTGTTCTAGGTGGGTGCTGTCTGGACTGTGAAGAAGGACTCGAACATGTCCTGAACATGGATGGGTCCGTTCATCAGGAATTGAGGTAAAAGACAGGATGGAGGATGAGGTGGAGAAACTTGAAGCAGGCGCAGGACAGGGACAGGAACACTACCCCGTACAGCATCCTCAGAGCCATCCCCTAACGCGCTTTTCTCTCCGATTTTCTCTGCGCGTCTGAGAGAGACAGAGAGACAGAGATGAAGCTGAGAAGTGCGAGGCGATGGTGACGGAGAGAGAGTGGGATAAGGTGTTTATGATTTGTCGATGGGATGATGAGGTTCCCCCTGCCGGACGTGTCAGCCCCTCGAGGCCTCCGCTCGACACGTGTGGGGAGTTCCATTCGGCTGTTAACTCTGCATGCTTCTTGCTTTTTTGACCAAGCAAAGCGCATATCTAGATCTAGAGATATGTTATTCAATATGTTCTCTCTTTCTTTCATCATTCTTTCGTATTGAAGAAGAGATGAGTGACCGTGACATGCGGTCTTTACTTATCTCTGGCGGGTTTCTATAGATCTCGAGGACCGGTTGCTCAGCCACCCATCGACCGTGAACCTTTTACCCTACTTTGTATAAGGGTTTCTACGAAACACAAGTGATTACGGTCGATTACGATCAGGTGAATCAGTCCTTCTCAGCACCGTTGGATTACTAAGGCCGACTTTCGTCCCTGCTCGACAGGTGAGTCTTGTAGATGAACCGTAGAAGAGCCTCTTATCTATATCGTCGAACTCCGTCCTGTCGTAGATATGGTAACACAACACATAGTTAAACATGCTTCGACGAAGTCTAGTCAAGATCCTGGCATGGAGCAGGCAGAATTGTGGATTAACCCCTTAAATCTTTAAATGACATCCTCTAATGCATTTCTCAAGGCGGGTTCGCGTTGCCCATGTTAATAAGATGTTATTAAGTTTAGATACATTGATAGATGCTTGAACAAATTATTTTTTATACCTTTCTATAAGAGGTTATATTTTTATCGTGTTAATTGCATCGTATCGTGTAATCTGTTTAATGATAATTTCATGGGTTCAAATTGAAAATATGAGACGTCTGCATTGTCAATATTCTAAAAATATACTCCCCCTTTCTTACTATAGTTAAATAGTGACTTCAAAATGTTCATCTACATAATCCTTATGTATGTTTTTTTGTGTGCATTGACATGGACATCCTCTCCATGTAAAAATAATCTCGCTCTCTATGGTGTGACGTCCTCTAAATGTAGTAAATTATCTTTTGAAGGGAATTTTAATTTGTCTTAGATTATGTTATTAATAAGGCCTTGCTATCTTCTTCTTGTTCTTCGTTTTATAATCGAGGGGCGCAATAGCAAAGGCCCGATTATCTGGAGATCTATAGAATAAATTGTAAAATCTATGAACCAGCCTTTCATAACAGTAGCTCACAATTGGTGATATTTAAACAGGTGACATTCAGTTTCTAGGTTGAAAATCCTTTAATGTCCTGACTAGCTACGTCAATTCCAGAAATTGTGTGATCATGATTTAGTGGCATCAAATTTAGTGGAGCGGAGTGTCCCTTGCGTGAGCTCAATTCAACTTGATGTCCCCTGTCTCTATGGAGTTAGAATTCCAAACTCATCTTGATCAAGCTCCTCCCAATTTGGCTTTATTGTAAGAAGAGAAATTTCAAATTAAGCTTAAGTCAAGCTCGAATTCTGAATCGACCTTGAACTTAAAACTCCGTTTATTTTGTAGAAAATAAATGATTCAAAAAATATTTCTCTAAAAATGATCGCTTGAAATAATTAGTCAATGTCTGACAAAAAAATAATTAGTCAATGAAATATATTTCTTTATCGACAACAATTTATGTTTAAACATTTTCGTTGATGATAAAAAAATTTTACGTTCATCCATTCTTGTGAGCGATACAAGTGATTATTTTTAGACAAACGCGCCCGAAGTTTCAAAAACGTACATCAAATACTCAATTACAAGCGTTCGAGACAACGTTTTCTAGTTTAATCTTTATAAAAAAAGATATTCGAGCGACACGAATTTCGAAAAGAAATAATTTCAAAGTCGAGATCGAGTAGCTTGTGAGTTGGAGAAGATCGTATTGTGTTAAGTACTCAGTCCTATGACCAAAAAAACAAAGTACTCAGTGCACCATATCGACATGGTAATCCATGTTAGTTGATTATTGGATAATTAGTATGGATAATTCGTGATTAACTTGGAGCACAAGCATGAATTAGATGACATCGATGTCTGCAAACGAAATTACTGCTTCAATTTTACCTCGAATTGGGTCGAGTAAACTTATAGCTATTTTTTTTTTTTTTAATTTGGAGGTGCACGTGTCATCGATTAATCCATGGGAAAGTTAGGTTATGAAAGGCTGAGACATGGGTCATGTCAAATATTTAAAAATAAAAACAGAAAAAACAAGGGCCAAAGCGAGGGTCCATAGCTCAGTGGTAGAGCATTTGACTGCAGATCAAGAGGTCACCGGTTCGATCCCGGTTGGGCCCTCTCCTGTCCTTCATATAATTTTGGGAAATCTTTTGTTGTTTCAACCGATGTGGAACTTTAAACTAAACATAAATAATCTCCTCGAAGCACTTATTAAGACAGTTGCACAAAAAAATGTTTGAAATTTCCCATGAGTATTTTCTTGCTTATGATTTGCGATAATTAATAATTCTTTTCTTATTAAGTATGATCAATAAATGTCCTTTGACCCGATTCTTTACACGAAAAGGGGAAAAAGAAGAAACAATGCAGATCGGAGAAGCTCCATTTGCTCTTTAATTTAACGATTCATCCTCACTCCCTGTCACCGGCTCCTTTATTCGCTCACTCCATTTTAACTTAGTTGGTCTTTCCTCTTTGTTTAGGATTACCGCACTCTCTCTCTCTCCGATAATGCCTAACCTCACGGCTTGAGGATTGAGCTCGCTCCTAACGCAGATAATCGTTATCGTTGGCCATGTTATGGACAGATGAACTTGAGCGGGAAGGTCGCTAAGCTGATGACAGTCGACGGACACTGGGGACCAGAGAAGCAAAGACGGGGGGCTTCGACAGAACTTAACATATAAAAAGAATACAAGTTATTAGGGGGATCTCGACACTGATCTCATGTCGTCGTCGTTCAAAACTCAAAAGCACAATGGCACAAACCAAAATGTCAAGGAAGAGAGTGGTTTTTGCCTGCTAAAGCTTCGTCAGTTCAGTTAATTCTGCGAATACTTTCATCATTTGTTACCGGTATTTAGAATCTCTTTCCAGCTTCCTCAAACTGGTCCAGAAGCTCCAGTACGAGCTTCTCGCTCTCGGCTCTAGCTCCTACAGTTTTGTTTGTTTGAAGGAGATCTCTTATCTCTATTCACCTTCATTCACAGGCTCGTGGTCCTGACTGAATGGATACCATGCAATTCTTATTCAATAGCATTTTTGCCTCTCTAAATGAGATTTCCTCGCAGATGAAATCATGTATTTAGCCATCTTCATTGTGGTATCATACATAAATTATTAAAGCACGGTAATATATCTTCAGTCGATCGTCATACTATAAACTTGTTAAGTATTTGAAGCCTTCACAGAAGCCAGGTCAGATGATCTTTCGCTCCTGCTACCGATGACCATGTCTGATGCAAATGTAGCCATGTCCATCCATCCAAACCGTCAGCATCCTGAAATGAAAATATTGTCGTCCCTGAATGATCTCGAACGCATTTAAGCAAGAATTTCACGTGTCAAGATGTGTTGCAAAACCTTACCTTTGTAACCAATACAGCAGAGCACAAGCAACTCTGCTGCTCCTCACCTTAAAAATTCAGAAAGCAAAAATAAGGCCAATGAGATGTCAAGATTAGAGCAACACATATGTAGAAAAGCCACAAATTGGTCACCAACTTAGTTTCATTGTATGCCATCATCTTTTTAGGCTCTAATAGATGGGAAAACTTTGAGAATGAGCTCAATGCAGAAGCGATCTCAAACAAGGAAAGCAAGTTATATCCATCAAAGTAAAATTCCTTCTAAGGTTGCCAAATAAGGGTAATTATCATAAGAAATCACTTTGCAAAATGGAAAGACAAAAACGACCAACTTGCCCATCAGAATGGCATTGCCAGCCTTACATCATCAGGTCAAATTTTCAACTGTGCAGAATTACCAAACTTGTAGATTATGGATCATGCCAGATCTCAACCTTTCAGTTCAGATGGTTCTTCACACTTATTAAAACATCGCAACATTTGAGATATCTCCCAATGTGAACCTCACGCTAAATAGGCATGAGATAAAATCACTAAGAAAACAGATATAAGCAATGAAGCATTTAATCTCCTGAAATTGCTGCATCATCATGAATGAGATGGACTTTATTTTATATAAGATAATCAAACATGTGAGATGGTTTATCATTGATTGACGGTCTTTCCTGGAACTACTAAATAACAAAATTTCAAGGCTTTCATCCGAGTTGATTAAGTTCTCACGGTAAAACTAATAAAGAAAAGGATAATTGTTAGGTCACGATAGTGTAAAAGAATTCCTTACACATTCACCATTGCATTGGTGACATATGTATTTGGAGTTAGTCTTATAACCGAATCCTTCAACATGTCAACAATCCAATGGATGAGTGTGTAAATTATTTCTTACACTGGCAGTAAACCTAATGTAAGTTTTTATGTTTCTCTCTATGAAATGAATTCTTGCACACAGCAGGACTGCAACTCACAATGATTTTGTTCTCCACAAGAACCATGCAATGAGCAGCGGAAAACAACCCAGACCTAAGTCAAATGGGCATTCATAACCCATTTATCAGACTTATATTATCCTCTTTAATTTACCTCGTCCTAAATATCACATGGACATGACAATTTCAAACCATCTCCAGACACATCTTAAAATACGATTTTTGAATGACTGAGTACCAGCTCCATCTCCCTGATCAGTCAATAGTAGGTATTCTATGCCTTCAAATAAATCACAGGAATTATGCTGACACCAATGCCCAATCTCTTGTTAAACCAGCAAAGGTTGTAATCTTGCAGTATTGAAGGAATGCAATTTATGATGTACTAAACGATGCCAGTAATTTCTGGAGAGAGCAAAATTATGATGGGCAGGTGTGAATTTGTATATAATACAAACTTGCAGAAAGCTTTGAAGGACATCATACAGTAGTTCTCTCATCAATATCAAGAAACCAACAATGATGCAAAACCAAAATAAAAAGTTTAAGACAACTGGAGAGCTGGAAAAAGAGAATGATATATAAGAAATTTGAAAGATGGGAACTATAATGGACCCAAAAAAATCTGTACCACCTCACTCAAAGAGGAATGGAATTAAGAAAAGGGTCTCACCATGCATCTCCCACTTTTGAAACTTCACTAGCCAGGTGTCCGAACCAATCTTCGTAGGAAATACTTGATCTACCCAAACTCGATATCGTTTCCCCTGTTGGTCTCCATGGTTCCCCTTCAATGCACTTATGCATTCACGAAAAGACTGCTCAACACCAGATGGATGGACAAAAATCCCAGGTGGTTGCTGTTCAAAGGCGACAAAGAGAGAAGATGATTATTAATCATTTCACATGTCGTGCTCGGAAAAAATGCTTGTGTGCATATGACCCTTCTCATCTCTCCCCTTTATACTCCCCGGGTCACAATAGCTGTTCTCATATTTGTGAAAGAACATAGAAGAATGCCAAGGACACAGCGATGGGAAAAAGTAAAGGCCCACCTAAAACCGTTGCAGTATATATTAGCAGTCCATCGTCAACAAATGCAACTTGGGTTCTAACGAGCCCATTATGATGATGCAATTGTCTTCAACATCCGTTAGCCTCTAAGACCTAGAACCAGAAGAAAGAATACAGGACAAAGGCCATCGCCTCTGGCTCGGACATCCCTAAGCCGCTAGTCTGCCTAACCAGAATACATGCTAGATACAATTTAATTAGGTACCGACAGATCGATTGCTCTGAATGTACGTAGCAACTGGCAAGTACTTGTCAGAGCATGTGAAATGGATTCTTTTGCATACATTGAAAGGTTATACCTATTCTTAATGAAATAAGTACAGTAGAAAGGAATGAGACGCACACAAACTGCTTCCAGAGTTGTGATGTAACTCTCAGAGTTCTCAATCTCCCCGCGTCTCCATTTTTCATGCAGTAAGTAAAATCTCACTACTTCACCACCAGGACTGAGATTTTCCATTTTAGAGCCTAAAAGGTCGGCCTCATCCCTCGGAGATGTATTTGGACCCAGTCCAAAATGACCAATGGCCTGAATGATCCCAGAAGCACACCTTTCTGTGGCATGAATGACTTTGGGGTTGTCTTTGGCATTTTCAGCATGCCACAGCAACAATTCTTCTTGAGCATTGCTCACCTACACATCCAAAACGTCCATGAAATAAATATGATTAGCAGAGGCAAAACAAGTTCAATACAAATTAATGCAATACAAAACTACCGACCATGACACCATATACATCTGGAATGCAGAATAGTTCAGCGTCATTTCCAGAATCGCCACAAACAAGGGTATTATTAGGAAGCTTTCCTTCCGCCTTAAACTTGTTTAACAAGTATGCAAGAGCTTGTCCTTTCCCAGCACCTTGTGGTAATATGTCCAAATCCATTCCTCCACTGTAGATAATTTTGACATCCAACTGAGAGGGAAAGAAGAGACCTATAAGTTGCCAGTGACATAAGCATACATTAAGGAGGAAGAGAGAGGAAATTGACTAAACAACAAGTTCCTAGGAGATTAATAAATTGTTACCCCTCGATTTGTCAAAAGCTCTGAAAGCTTCTTCGTCACATCCTGAGCCTTGCTTTTGTCAACGTTGAAGCTAACCTTGTGTGGTCTTTGTTCTGTTTCTGACTACATTGACAAGCAAAAGTCAGTTAGTCTTCTTAATGTGACACGTATCATTGTCTATATGACACAAAAGAAAAAAATTTCTGGGGGGCGCATAAACAGAAAATGGAGCAATAAATTTTTTTTGCATGTCTAAACAGAGAGGACTCCTTGGAAAGAAGCTTTTATGCATGAGACACACCTGAAGAGAAAGTTCAGGAAACTTGCTTGTTTCCTCTTGTACAATTTTTCGGTCCCATTTCTGATTTAAAACTTCTTCCCAACCACCATCTGGAACCATCAAGTTACCATAGGTTATCTCAGTCCCAACAGACATTATGGTGATGTCTGGAGTTAACATGGGCTTCTCTTTTCTCAGCTGTTTATATAGGGTTGGCGACCTTCCAGTTGAGAAAACTAAGAGGGAATCACGACGGTAGCTGGATTCCCATAGAGCATTGAATCGGAGCAGGGAGATGTTCTCAGGGTCATGGTGGTCAACCTGCAGGGCCTCTTGTTCAGAGATAAACTACATAAAGTAACTGGGCTGATGTAAATCTAAAGTTCCCATTACACAACTTACCATTGTATGATCAAGATCCGAAACGATCATGAGCTTCGCTGAAGAAGTGAGCCGCTCCATAGTGCTTGGTTCAACCTTCTAGTGAAATAGAGCAAAGTTTTAGCATCCAATGAGTAAATAACAAAAAGTAGTACAGATTCAGCGCAAGTTCTTATCATTGACTTGTTTCTCTAGATTGTAAAATAGAGAAGTGAGGATATAAAGAACAATCAATCACATGACTACGCGCTATATGTTGTGATTGTAACAAGGCCTATCCTTCTTTAAGGGGAGAGAAGTTAATAGGTTTCTCGGTTGTCATTTGCTGCTTCAAAAGCACCACAAGTTCTTGACGCGAATTAGAAAGACAGACCAGATCGCACACAAATAGGGAAACCGGATCGCGCAGAATCTTGCAAAATGATACTTTGAATACGAGGAACCTTCAATTCACCAGAAGATATTTGTAGAAAAAGAGTGAAACTCAGGACCCTAAATGACAATTGGTCTCATCAAGAACCCCGGTTCTATATGGCCCTAACCATGGACATGCACCGCAGAGCAAAACAAAAAAGTCTACATAAATGCGCAATTTTCCAGGAGGAGGCATCTCGGTAAGAGTTGTCGCAGCATTTTGAGCAAGCTAATAAGGTAAACTCGTTACTAATTCAGCAAAGTGATGCTGCAAGCCAAAATAAGCACCAAGCTCACATATAAGAACGCGGAAACGAATGGTAAAGGAACCTGATGAGCAGTCATAGCTCACCAAAGTCATCATAGAGCCATTCTCCTTTAAGTTACTCCCATTATGCGAGAAATTCTCCCCCCCCTCTCTCTCTCTCATCCTTATGAGCGAACATATCACGAACAAGTGCATGTTTCTGCCATCGAGCGCCATCATTCTATTCAGCTCTAATTGCTTATCCTAGCGAAGCTAGACAGCTCCGACGGGATGGGGAGAGGAAAAGGGAGAGACGTTCCGAAAAGGAAAAGGCGAAGAAGCGCAATTCTCAAGCGCAGACAAGCCTCGTGCGCTCGCGCACCAGCGACATTCACCCGGAAAGAAGATCGGGAACGTTGCAAGAGATTTCCCGATCAGGTCGTCGTCTTCCGGGAACCAAATCGAAGCGAACGACAGAAATAACGGATTCAGGAATCCTCCAAATCAAAATTCCTACGGATCTCTTCCTCGACCCGAGCTCGTAAAACAGAAACGTCACGATCCGATCACGTTTTCTCGCGCTAGAGAGGGAGAGTACCTGGGGGAATGCGATTGCCAGTGAGCCGATGGAAGCTCGGGAATGGAGTCGCGCTCGCTGCTGACGGACGTGCTCGGGAGAGAGCGAGAGAGAGAGAGAGGGATTTGTGGACCAGCGATCGGGCGAAGTGATAAAAGGGAGAAGAAGACGGAGGAGGAGGAAGAGGAGGAGGAGGATCGGATGCAAATTCGTTGGCGCTTGTTCGCGAAGCGAAGCGAAGCGACGGGACCGGGCACGGATATGGGCCAAATGGGGCCAAAACGGGTTCTTTTTGGACACTTGTTCAACTCGACTGCGGTTGTCGCGCGCTTGCGTGAGGGTCCCCCCACCGCCTGGGTAACACTTTCGCGGCGTACGAGTAGTACACCGAATTAATCGCAATCATTGATTAAGACGTATTTTGTGTATTTTTCAAAATTTATAATGCGATTATACATGATTAACAAGCCAAAAATCGGGTATTTATTTTCACCAAGTTGATTGAACGCGGTTATTGTTTCGATATCGAGCTACCTCATCCCTTAAATCAACCTTTTGAAGACCATATGAACAACCCACGTTGTTCTCCCTCGCGGCGGGCAACAATCCCCCTGGTAGCGCAACAACAACGGCCATACACTGCACTCAAATCCTACGCGAGGCAAATCCAGCTCGGCACCTGAAAGTGGGATCGAAGCAGCATTGCCGCTCGTGCGCACATGAATTAGAGACATTGGATGGTTATCCGAGTATATAAACCTTTGATTCTAAGTTGGCCTTGTGTTTACAACAAAATCGGCATGGATGTCACGTCGGTTTAATGTCAAAATCCGATGGACAATGGAGCTCAGTCGTAGTACGTTTGGATAAAATTCGGGAATGTAGTAAGCGTGAGTGGCACCATGTCCCGAACTCTGTGACTGGAGAGAATCGGTAATTTTACCGAAACATGAAAAGTTTACATTTCGGGAAATGTTGAAGCTACCGAAAATCGGCAAGATCACAACCCAGCCACGTGAATCGTGACAACAGGAAGTTATGAGCAAGAAGTGGAGATAGTAAACACGAGCAGATCGTGGGAGATCATTTATTCAAATTGGAAGTTATCCCAGCAGTTGAGATCAAGTTTTGGTGGACAATGAAATTGGAAAACGTGGGTAGATAAGGCAGTTATTGAAAGCGCCAAAATTCAAAGTTCGAAAATAAAGAAGTAACCGACAAGCAGTTACAGGGTAGGAGGAGATATACGTACTCAGAGGAAAGAAGAAGAGAAAACACACACAAGAATGCAAAAACACTCAAGTTTATATGCACTTTAGTTTCATTTGCACTTTTACTTCCTGCGTTTACAGCTTCCTGTAGCCTTAGTTAACCTTCAAGCCCTTTACCGCTTTCGTAGGAGTATTGTAACGTAGCTTGGAACTCGTTGATCCCGATCCATTTTCAATCCACTCAATTTCTACCCGCTTCCACATAACCCAAAGACTACACTCTGTTTTTTCGCCACGATATTCCTAGTAATCAAGCCACAGAACCTACTTTAATAAAAACCGAAAATCACAGTTTCGGTGAAGGATATTCCTCGTCGCAAAACGAGCGAACATCTTTTGGCACGCTGGGACTGCGTGGTAAGATTTGGAGAAATGGTGAGAACTAGGCAATCGAAGGAATACCGGTCGGCAACATCAACAATCCAGTTGATGAAGCACGTTCTGAACATTCTGCAGCAAATCAAGTAGAGGAGAATGCCGACATTCCTCGACAATTAACTGAAGAACAAGCCCGTGTGTTGGCACCAGATAACACCTTGGTAGCCACGATAAGAAGGATGTTTGAGGAGCAGCAGAACGATCTTACCAATCATATGGTGCGACATGTAACTGATGTGATAAAGCCCATGGTGATCAATGCTATAAATGAGGTAATATCGCGTCCCACTTCATCTTCTCAAATTCCACCCTTTTATGTAAATCCTCCGGCGACAACATCATTCCCACCAACATCGGGACCTCTTCATGTTGGATATAATGGTAGTGGGGGATCAAATTCTCAACCTCCTGTTAGAATTATACCAAGGCCAGAGAATCCTACCCCTATAAACCTTGTGAATGGTGTGAGTGCTAATAATTTCCCTCAAAATGCCTCAAATGAGGTTAATTTGATTAATCCTATGACCACTAATGCACCATCAGGGACGAATGTACCTCTACCAGTGAATATGCCTAATATTGACCATATCAGACCACCTGCGCCTCAACCATATCCTCATGTGATAGAAAATCCTCTTTATAGACCACCACTGCCTGTTAATTTCAACGTAGAACAGCAAGGGGTGAATCGACCGCAATAGTTCGATCCTAGAGGTCAAGATCCTTGGGTAGGCCAGCAAAATTTAAGGCCATGGAACCCAGATAGAGTTGCAGAATTGGTAATGCAACAATTGGGAGCAGAAAGAGGAATGCCAAGGCCAGTGTATAGGAAACCACATCCCGATTGGGTTGACAATATACCATATCCGAGGGATTTCAAGATGCCAGATTTTGCTGTATTTACAGGAGAAGAAGATCAGTCAACTGTGGAACATGTGGGTCGATTCTTAGCACAATGTGGAGAAGCCGGAACTAATGAGTATTTAAGGTTAAGATTGTTCCCACTGTCTTTGTCAAAAACAGCGTTTACTTGGTATACGAATCTGCATGCGAATTCTATTCGAGACATGGACGGAGATGGAAAGGCGGTTCCATTCTCAATTTTACCGAACAAGCACGAAGTAACGGTAGCCGATTTGGCCAGGATGTATCAATATGGTACCGAAACGGTAGATCAGTTTATTGCACGTTTCAAGAAATCCAGAAACCGATGTTTAACGTCACTTACCGAAAAGGAGTTCACGGATTTGGCTTTTAATGGCTTGAGGTTCAACCTTAAAGAAAGATTTGAAGGACAAACATTTGATGATCTCTTTCAGTTGAACGCACGGGTTTCCAAGTACGAATACTTGTTGAAGGAGAAAGATAAGAAGCCGAACAAGGATAATCGGCATACAGTGGCATTTGCTGAAAATACCGAACAAGGTGATATAGCCGAAGAGGAGAATGAAATAGCCGTAGCAACTATGGTGCTTGAAAAACCGTATGTGTGCCCAAGACTAAAGCCACCAGGATGAGAGATGCATCCAAGTTCAAGACTAAGGAGACAAATAACTATTCCTTCGACATCTACAAGTTGGATGAGATATTTGATCTGTTATTGAAGGATGGAGTGATCAAGTTATCTGAAGGGCAAATAATTCCGCCAAAGGAGGAAATGACAGATAAGAGGTATTGCAAGTGGCATCACTCTACAACCCATGATACGGTGAATTGCATTGTATTTAGGAAGACTATTCAAGAAGCAATTCGCCAAGGCAAAATTAAGTTTGTTGAAGACAAAGGCAAGGCCCCAATGGAAGTGGATACAGACCCTTTCCCGAATATGATTAGTATGGTTAACATACGAGATATGACAGGTGACAATAACAAGCAACTTTGCGCTCGTTGTCACCAAGAGTTAATTCACCAGAATCGGGAAATACCCAAGTTCCAATACATGAGAGGAACAAGGGGGAGATATCGATCGGAATCGTTTGTCCGCAGAATAAGTAGACCACAGGTAAAATCTGAGATTGTTGCTACCGAAGATCAGGAAGTTCAATCAAGACAAACAGCACATGTTCCCGAAAGAAAAGATGTTAGTCAAAGATGTGAGAGGAAGGAATATCACTATGGTTCGTCACAACCAGCTTTTCCCACTTCGGGAATCAACCACTCGAGGTTCATGAAGAAAAAGAAACATTACCCAAGCCCGCAAAGAAAAAGAATTTGTGGCAACGATATAAAGAAGGTGATCCTAAAGTCGGATTGCTTGGACAACCTAGTGGGAAGTTTGACTATGTGGTCTATTACGGAGATACGGATGATTATGCACCTCCGTCATTACCAATTGTGCCGACTGGCTGGGGAGATGAGTTTGATGATCCACCACCGTCAAATTCCCAAGAGATCCACAAGCGAAAAACAGTTAAAGTGCCACACAATCCTCCCGAAGGAAAATGGTCGACAGTTAAATCGCCAGGACAAGCGTCTTACAGAACCATTAAGAGGCGTTTTCAGCGGATGAAAAATAGGCAAAGGAATTTCCAAGATAGCCGAGTTAAAAGTATAGCAAAGCAAGATTTACCTTTCACATCTGTTAGTAAGAAAGGTAATTGGGTCTGGAAGAGAAACCCTGATCAAAAAGATCAAATTAAATCAGAGCCAGGGGATTCGGGAAATAGTTCTCAAGTTGAGATGAAAAAAGAAAAAGTTTCACAAGCTCCTCAGACAGTTAATTTTGGGCAGTTCACTGTAGCTCTCAATCCAAGACATCAAGGAAAGGTGGGGCAAAAGGACTTGGGTCCTAAATGGTCACGAGGAAATGACAGGAGTTACCGAATTGGCTACCCCAAAATGTCAAAGAAATATGATCATCCATTACGGATAAATATGATCCATGCTAAACTTCCAGCGGAATATGGAACTGATTTGGTAGTGGAAGAAGATACCGAACACATTTCGGAAAAGGAAATAGCCATGGCAGAATTCCAGTTTCCCGACAAGGAAGCCATTAAGTTTGATAAGGTACCTTCTGAAAAAGCAAAGCATCTAAGATCCTTGGTTATTTCAGGAAAGGTCAGTGGTAGGTCTGTCGGTAAAATTTTCGTAGATGCTGGAGCCACTTTGAACCTCGTATCTTACAAGTACTTCAAGAAATTAGGGAAGGACGATGATGACATTATCCCTTCCAATGTTCAGCTGGCTGATTTTCTTGGGGAAGTTACCGAAGTCAAGGGGGCAATAGTGCTGGATTTGATTATAGGGTCCAAGTCGTCCAAAACGACTTTCTTTGTGATAGAGTCTGATGGTTCATATAATCTGCTGCTCGGAAGAGATTGGATACACTCTAATCAGTGCGTACCTTCAACTTTGCATCAAGTCTTGGCATTTTGGAATGGCGAGAAAGTGGAGTATGTTGAGGCAGATTCGGGATATGTGTCAATCGGGTGGACTGATATTTGCCGAAAATATCGAGACTGTGCATATGAAGGTTATGCTGTTGAAACACCAGGGACAGATCCATAGTCCCTTGCTTATTGCCGCT